GGGGGGGGGGGGGGGGGGGGGGGGGGGGGGGGGGGGGGGGGGAGGGCCGCCCTTGCCGCAACGAAAAACCCTTCGAGTTTGAGACACGGGACTGCCGCACGCGCCATGTAAGACAAAGACCCCCCCTCCCCCCGCCCATATCCGCCGTCCTCTCGAGGACGCGTGGGCAATGGTCTAACTCGAAGGCATGCAAGACAAGTGTACGCCCCCCCCCCCATATCTGGATTTGGCACAGCAAACGCAAGGACGATGACCAGCTCCTGTTTCATCCATTGTGAAACGTAGCCTGGGCCGGCGAACACCCGGCATGTGCGAGGTCTATGGTCTGACGACTACGGCATGCGTTTACACTGGTGCACCCCCCCCCCCACGTCCTACCGAGCGAGGCCAAGCCACAACACACATACACGCATACCGTAGGTGACGTATTGTCGCACAACCCCTGAACCGTTTTCAAAGCTCTCGATTACTCAACGATGCTTTTCGAAAAAAAAAAAATCTCGACAAGACGGTTCGGTTCAATGATGCAAGTTTATTACACTGTCACTGGCTGTGCTGTGGGGTTATCGGTATGTATCTTATGCATCCCACGACGAGCCACGTATCATGCCGACCTCAGCTTGCCCCGCTTGCCCCAACTGATGGTCACGGGTCACGGGCGGGGGACTGTCGCTGCGAGAACAGCACCACAGAGGTACACAGCAGTGTGGCAGTTTCCAGGGTGGAAGGAGGAAGCAGCAGCCCTCGATACATGCGCGTAATGTGCTCAAAATATGTATTTCACGACAAAAGAGAAAAACAACGTGCAAAAACGCTCCTTGCTTGTCTTCTGCCCCGCGACTATTATTTCGTCCAAGGAGGAATAAACGGAGAGACACGCAACCTCACGAGCCGTACAATCACGCCTGACAACGGTATGCCCATGGGACAATGGAACACGCCCACCTCGTACGAACACCAAGTCGTGAAGCTGCCGAGAGCAGTTAAAAGGAGCCCACACATTCTCACAGCAATCAGGCACGTATATCTATGACCGTAAACCAAACGAATCAATACCGTACCATAAAAATATACGATGATCAGAGCCACGCTATGAATTTAATTCATTGGTAAGCTATGACGGACTCGTTATCTGTGTTCGACATCAATATTTGTTGTGAAGAAAAAAGTGTGTCACATCAGACTCACCAGGCACTCTAGAAATGGATTCATTGCTAGAATCCTGGACGCTTTTTTATCTGTGGGAGAGATGCATCTGTTATTTTTTTGTCGCGATCGCATAAGAAGAACCACAGGTTGGTCATCATGCAACGCCATGAATCATGGGAAAGCAATCCCGGGTTCTTATCTGCGGAAGAGAATAATTTGTTAGGATTTTGTAGAATAAGAAAGAGCCCAGCAGGAATTTCGACGCCATCCACGGATCGACGGATCTACGGTGGTGTTCGTTCCAGAGCAGGGTCAGCACCACGCTAGTAGTCCCTCAAGGTCCTCAAGGTTCGAGCTGTGGTGTTTACTCACGGCTTGGGTTGAGAGAGGCCGAAAACGCTCTCTGAAGCGAATTCAGCACAGTACGTCTCGCCTCACGACCCATGTCTGCTGAGGGTCAGACGGCCATATACCTGCTTGACAAGGCCCGGTCAAGGTATATATACAATCGTTCTGCATGACGACCCGCAGAGCTGCAAGTCCACGCCCATCGGTGGCGCTACGCTGTCGGCCACGCTCACGCCAAGTCATGATGATGGTGCTATTATATAAGAGGACGGGGCGTTGGGAGACGCTGATTGCGGAATGGTTTGATGGTGTATCGAGCACATGTTGATTCTGTGTGCTCCACAGGCAGATAGTAGAGGGACGTGCATCCTCGAAAGCAAGCGGGGGGAGGCGCCGTCGCATGGGGGCATGTATGTCATGGTACAGCAGGGGCTGCACCGGCAACACGGGCGAAAGCGGCCTTGCGTTGTGAATCTGTGGAGAACAAGTTTCTCTCGACGTTGTCACAATGCATGGTTACGACAATGTTTTATACTTGGAAGTACAACATCAATGAGAGGCTACCCGCTCTGGATAACACCACGTCCGAAAGGGATGTGCTTATTACAGTGAGGGTTGAGCGGCGCCTGCTGGGCTCTGAACTTGCTGAGAGGACATGGAAGATTAAGAGGCCACTGTGCCGTCGATGGCCATCAGCTCTGGTCGCTCTTAACGCACGGACGGAATGTTGGTTGTTGGACTCGCAACAGAGCGGTAGACCATTGCTTTCTCACCGCCGCTTTGTTTGTGTTCTTCGCGCCTGTCAGTGTTGGTCTTGCAACAGAGCGTTACGTAAGCCCCTCGCCGTCTCACCTCCGGTGTTTCTTTGCGTGGTTTTGTGTGCTCGTCGTCGGCCTGCAGCTTGGGCTACAGGAGTGAGATTGCGAGTCAGCACACGGCCGGTGACATCGGATCGCCGTTAGAGTGGCTCGCAGAAGAGGTGAAGGTGATGCCGTGCTGCCTAGCTTGCGTAGCGTGTCGGAGCCCTATCCCTACAAACGTATTCTGTTGTCGGTGATGGTGTATGGCTGGTCTGTGCTGTGGGTTACAAGCCGCGTTTAGAGTGCGGGACGGGGTCAAAGAATGGGAAATGGCCGTCGACGCGACACGTTGGCCGATCATACCCACGTGTTGTGAGAGAGTGCAGCTGAGGTGCCTCGATGTATGTGTAGTTTTGGGCGGGGTATGTACCAGGGCAGTCCATTCGCCCTGCTGAAGAGCACCCGCCCTATCCAGCGCCCTTCTGAACGTTTACATCATCTTGATCGTTCTGGGCCGAAATATTTATTGAGCCCCATGTATAGGGTCCACGCGTCCTCTTAAAAGAGGGACCACGAATGACTGCGGTATCCCGGCTCACTGCTAGACAGATGCACCATAATGGTTTGGTGACGGAGAAGACGTCTGCTTGGCTCTTGCAATTACATCGACTGTTGCATAACGACGAGTCTCACCTCCTGCATCGCTGCACGCACGCTCACGCGAAAACAGGACATTGAGATGGGAGACGCCTCGTCCGAAAAGGCCGCAAACACGGGGGCGCTATCCTCCCTATCGGCCAACGCTACCAGCAGGCACGAGAACGGCAGTCAGCTCCTCGGCCGGACCCTGAACCACACGCTTTCGTCCTCGCCGCAGTCGACGGAGCGGGGGCTAACGGCGACATCGCCGCCGCTGCCGCCGCCGGCACCGGCAGCCTCCTCGTCGGGGCTGAACTCGCCGACCACCTCCCTGTCCCCGGCGGCGGCCGGGGGGGGGGCGGCGGCAGTCGCGGGGCAGCTGCCGCCGAAGGCGCCAACGACAACAACGTCGGCGAGACCGCCGCGTGCCCAGCAGAAGCAGCGCAGGCCGCCGCCAACGCCTTGGGCCCCCTGGAGGAGGCAACCGTCGGAGCCGTCTATCGCGCCGGTTTCTTCATCGCCTGCGGAGACGGCGGAGATGATTAACATGGAAGAGGGGAATGCCGGTGCCGCGGCAGGGGAAGGGGCTACCGCAGAGATACGGGGGGGTGGTCCCTGCATCGCGGCGCGGGCGATCCCGTCCCTGAACTCACTCGAGTCGCTGGTGATGCTCATGCCGCCGTCGCCTGCGACGCCTCCTAAGGAGGACTGCGATTCTGGGCCAGGGCCGTTCGGCAAGCAGAATACTTCGGCCGCAGCGGGGGGGTTAGAAGCCGGAGGAGCAGGTGCCCGAGTGGGAGATGGAAATACCGTGGTGGTTGCTGGTGGTGGTTCTGTCCCGGGACAGCAGTCGCGGGGTGGGTTCGTTCCGGTAGCGCCTTGGCGGAACTGGGTGAACGCGACGTTTGTTCTGGAGGACGAGGAGGAGGAGGAGAAGAAGGAGGGGGAGTTGGGAGATGGGAAGCCCGGGGTCCGAACGTGCGCGCAGTTCGCCGCGAAGAGCGGCTTCGTCCCCTTCCGCGGGTACCAGCCCAGCAACGCGTGGCTGGCCGTCGCGATGCAGAAGGAGGAGAAGCAGAAGCGGGAGGAGGCGGAGAGGGCTCGCCTGGCAGGACATCCCTCGCTGGGCAGAGCGGTGCCGTTGAAGGAAATGGTGCAGGAAGAGGAAAGTGTCGCGAGTCAAACAGAAAGGACGACGGCGAAAACTATTGCGAGAAACCACACCCTGGCGCGCCAGTCTTCGGACGCGGGGCCCCACGGCGAGCACAAGGTTACCGTGGATGGGGACACTTCTCCCCGGTCCCCGTCCGGACCGTTGGCGTCTCCGCAGCAGCCTCCTGGTCCTGGGCTTCGTCCAGGTCGAGCGTTTCGCCGTGAGCGGGAGGTCTCGCCGCCACCGTCGCGGCCGTCGCCGCTGCCCCTGTCTATGTCTTCGAGCTCGTCTCGGTCGTTCATGCCGCCGGCGTCGCCCGCGAACTCAACTTGCCTGGGCGGGGCGGAGTATTCTTTGTCGCACTCCCCGGCGGCGCCGTCGCAGAGATCGTCGTTGAAGGGTTGCACGTCGCCATCAGCGTCTCAGCTCTCGGCGTCTCCCTTGAAAGGCTGCTTCTCTCCAGTAGCGGAGTCGCAGCTTTCCACCTACTCTGAGGAGGAGGAGGACTTGGACGTCGACGTGGACGTGGAGATTGCGCGAGCATGTGAAGAAGGGCCGGCGGCTTTCTCGGGGTCTCCTTCTCTCGAGAAGGAGTTGTTGGGCCGTTCGATTACCGCGGCGGAGGAACAAATCGCGACGGAAGAACTGATTGCGGCGGGAGGAAAAAGTGGAGCGGAAGAAGGTTCGACTTGGCCTTCCACCTCGGCATCACCACCATCACCCCAAACGGTGGTGGCCCAGCGCCGCTGCGTTGCGGAGGTCGGCAGCGAGGCGCCCGGCGCATTGGCCGGTGGGGTCTCCACCGGCACCTGCACGGGCAGCAGCACCGACAGCGGTAGCCCCGACCACGCCGCGGAGGAGAAGAGAGGTCCGCCGGTGTCCCCGGCGGAGATACCGTTACCCCCTTCACCGCCTCACCCGCCCCCTGGCCGATCTCCGACACCACCACGGCTGCCCAACGGTGACTCGACCCATGCCGTTGATGAGACTCCCGAACGCCTCCGGTCACTGGTGACGACGCCTCCGCCTGCGGAACGCCCGGAAAGAGTGCGGAAGGCGCCTCGGATCGTTGCGAGAAAGACCGGGCAGACGAAACGGCCAAGGCCGAGTCGGATCGCTTCCGCAGGTGCGGCTCCGCCGTCTTCAGCTGCGTCGTCGTCAGTGGAGATGAAGGTGAAACTGAGAAGCCAAGGCGTTCGTTCATTCCCTAGAGCTGTGCAGATTGATTGAACATAGCGTGTCGCTCCAAAGTGCCTGCCTCATTCGCGATCCACCAATCGTGCGAATGTTATTGATGAGAGTGAAAAAACTTCCACCCATCCCCTTGGTTTGTGGTTACACTTGGTTGCCTCTTACGCTTTCTCTACCTCCCCCGTTACGTTCTCCGCGTCCAGCGGCCAGCGCGAGCACAACCGGCGTGTGCCCGTGCATGGTGTGAGCCCCCGCATGCCCCAGCAGCAGCGGCACCAGCAGCAGCGGCTCCGCAGCATCAGCAGCAGGCACGCGCGGTTATACCTTCGGCGCCGCCTTCCGCGGCGGCACCGTGGCCATCCTCCCTGGGGACGCTGTCGCAATTCGCGGCCGGCGCGAGAATCTCGCCAACGCCTTCGGCAATGCTGCTTTCGCCTTCCCCGAAGACGCCGCCGCCGCTCTCCCTCACCACGGTCGGGGCGCCGCCGTGCCATCTCCTGCTCACGCCGCCGTCGCCGGCCGGGGGGTCTAGCTCGGCGTCGCCGACTTCTTCATTCCGGACTTCGCCGGTGCCGCGGCCGCCGCTTCTGCCGCCGGCCGTGGTGCTCTCGGGGAGAGACTTGCCCCCGTCCGACCCCGCCGCCGCCGCCCTGCTGGCGTGGTCGCTGTCTGACTCGACTCTGTCTGGCTGCTCTAGGCCCGGCACCGGGAGTGGCGGGGGGGGAACGAGCTCGATCCCGGTGTCGGTTTCCTCGGAGGCCGCCTCGCCATTGGTCGGGATGCGGTTCGTTGGGAAGGACGGTGGCGGCGGCGGGGGTAGTTCCAGCTCGAGGTCGAGGCCGAACTCGTGGCCGGACCACGGGGGGGGGGGCCCCCTGATTGGGGGGAGGGGNNNNGGACCACGGGGGGGGGGTCCCGCTGATTGGGGTGAGGGGGTCCCCCCCGCTTGGCCACCCGCCGAGCGTGCCGGTGCCGCTGGCGCTGTGCGGGGTGGGGCGGCCGGCGGCTTCGGCGGCGGAGGAGGATGGCGCCGCTGCAGGTGCGGGCCGTGTTGCGGCGGCCGTTGCCGTGGGGAGGACTGCCGGGGGGGGTGCTGCTGGTGTTGTCGACGAGTCGAGCTGCGAAGGCGGGGTTGGGGGCCGTAGAGGAAAGCGACCAAGGCGTTTTTTTTTCCCGTAGCCCCGGATGCTACGGAATGCTATGGAGCCAAGACAGCGAAGATGATGGTGATGTTTCTCAGCTGCGTTTAAGGGCCAGGGTGCTACCCACGCGGAAGCCGCTGGGGGTGATTGGCTCGGCAATTCGTTTGTGGCGGTCCCCGAGAGAGAGGGGGAGAGAGAGAGGGTCGCCTGGACTCCTCCTATCACGGCGTCGCGCGGTGATCGTGCTGCCACGTTACTCTTATAGTGCTGGTTGCGCCGCGGTGAAGGGGATTGGGGTGGGGACGGATTGCGCCGCGGTAAAGGGGGTTGGGGTGGGGACGGGCGTGGTGTTGACTGCCGCCGTTGCGCACCGGTTGTCCTGTCAGCGCGGCGCTTGTTGGCGAATAGCAGTTGTTTCTTTTGCCCGTTTAAAGCTTGTAGGCTTTACCTTAGCGGGAGATGGCCGCGACCCGGCGGTAATTTGGTTTCTCTTCTTGACCAGCCGTGAGCTCTCAAGTCGTGTTGCACGAAATTAGTGACTTTTTTTTTTATCTTAGCCGTATTGGCGTATGTGCATTTTATATCGGTGCGATCATTCCTTTACAACACGTATTTCAGTTTTTTTTTTTGGTGGTGTTGGGGATGTGCGTAGAGGGTAAGGCGGGTCTAGACAGCCCGGCCGGGGAACATTTTTGAGGTGACTGACCAGTTAATCGGGGCGGGGGGGGCGCGGCACAAGGTGGTACTATTGATCGGTATTCCACGATGCCGCTTGACGTTGAAGCCTCTTCGTAGGGCAGGGATGAGCTGGTTCCCTTCCGTAGGGAGGGAGTCCGTCGACTGCTGGTGGTGTTGCTGGTTCCGTTTAGCTTGGACGATTTTTTACATATGACCTTTACATTGGTATTGTCGTGATAGTGATCCTTGGAGTGTTGTTGGCTAACGTGAAACAGAGCCCGTCAATTTGTTGTGGAGGAAGGCTTTCCGCGGTCTCATCTTCTGTACCACTATGACTTGACTCTTTTTTCTGCGTGTTAGGACATTTGCTCGTTCGTTCTCTCTCTGTGTCTTGGAGCGGGTGCCATGATTGTGGGTAGCAGGTCAGCTCGCTTTTCGCTGTAGTCGAGAAGACGGTAGCAGGAAGCGTTATTTGAGATGAGTTTTTCTCCTTGCCTCCCCCCCCCCCCCCCCCCCCCCCCCCCCCCCCCCCCCCCCCCCCCCCCCCCCCCCCCCCCCCCCCCCCCCCCCCCCCCCCCCCCCCCCCCCCNCCTATTCTGTTGCCGAAGGACATCCATTCCATCCATGCTCTCCCTCTCATCGTTCTCAAACGGTGGTGTGGGCTCACTCACACCTGTGATGGTGCAAAAGGGTTTGTTGTAAGTGTCTGAAGGCTTTGGCAGCACAACCCGACCAATGTTGATAGCATTGTACAAGCAAGAGGTGTGGCGGCTTTTTTGTATTGATCGCTTGTTCAGATGGTATCTTGGTCGCAGTGTTGGAGGTGGCGGGAAGACGGGGCCTGACACCCGGAACTCGGGCTCACGGTTGATGCTAACGTGCTGAAGAGTGCTTGGTGCGCACGTGTGCCTTTATGTGTGTTATGCGTCCTGTCTGTTTGTAGAGCCTTCTCTTTGGCTGTTCCCTTTGTTCGGACCGTCCTTTTGGATTGTTGACGGGTTCCAATTTCAAATCCCGATTAGGAATTTCGCGGGGGNGGGGGGGGGGGGGGGGGGGGGGGGGCAGTCGTGCGTTCTGTCTCGTCTTTAAAGGGTGCACGTTTTTACAGCATCGCTTTTATGACCATTTGTCATTTGTCGTTTTCAAAGGTGCTTGTCTTGTCCTTGTCTTGTTTCGTCCGTAAGTCTTATGTGTCTTATCAGGGAGGTAGGTCCACACAATTTTAGCAGGCACGTGTGGGTGGTGGATAGCGGTGGTGGCGGAAAGGGCGTGCATGCACACGGTGTACCGACTGCTCCCCGCGCGACATGCGTGTGGGTAGAGAGGCGATGTGTGTGGGGGCGTGAACACGCACACAAGAACGTTGGAGGGTAAACGTGGGTTTTGATTAATGATGGGATTTTCCGCCCCTCGTGCAGGGTGGGATAGTAGTGAGAGGTGTTGGCCGAAAACCGGGCACGACCGGCGGCACGTTGTTTTCTTTTTATTTTCGCTACTGCCGCTGCTGCTATCTGGGTGGTTGATTGTTTTCGTCGTCATAGCTAGGACTGGCACTGCAAAAACCAGGTCAAGCTGGTTGCATGTTATTCCCTAGCAACGGCGGCCCGTTCGTGTTCCCTTCCTCCCTCTGAGCTGAAATTTGTGTGTCTGTTGGGTGTATGATATCTGGATCAATCTTAAAGCCAATTCCGATTTCCACATGTAGCGGGTTAGCCATAACCCGGAGACTTGTGTACATATTCTATAGAAGCTAATCCTGCTGCTGCTGCTGCTGCTGCTGCTGCTGCTGCTGCTGCACGTGATAGACGTGCTCGTTGCACCACGGGGTATCTTGAAGATGGAGGAAGGTAAAGCGTTCGGCGGAAGGTGCTGCGCTGACCAGACTTACCAACCTACTTTGGTTTTTCCCGTGAAAAGAAACGTGAATGGTGAAGCTGGTTTGAGGTTTTGCTGCCGACGGAGGCGGAGAGGATAGTTAGCTTGCGCGAGGCTCCGCGAGACGACGAGAGCCTGTTTTTTCTGCAAGCTTTCAACTGCTGCTGTTGTTGTCGGTTTTTCAGGATTGGTTGCGAGCGAACGCGAGCGCGCTCGTGCGGTCCGACTTGGTCCGAAGATTTTTTTTTTTTAATGTAAATCAGTGCTTGCGTGTTTCGGGGGAGGTTCAGGTGCTAATTCCGGTGTGACGTGTACGTGTAGTCACTGCCCCCTCCCCCCTCCCCTCCACGCGCGCACGCGCCTGGCCCACCTTGTTCCAATACGTTGCCGCTCGAAGCTGGCTTTGCGGGGGACGCGAGGTTTGGCTTTTTTAGAGGGAGTGTGGGTGTTGACTGGCATGTAGCGAGCTTTTTGCCTTCATGTCTGATTGTTTTGTGTGTTTGATGGTCCTTGTGTCGATCGTGGTTTTGCTCTCGCTCGCTGTTTCCCCTCCCCTCCTACAAGTGAATTGTTGCTGTCTTTGTTCCTGCTCGTGTGTGATGATGATGATGATGATGATGGTGATGGTGATCACTAAATGGTCAGTGTGTGCCTACACGTGGTAGTCTTTGTAGTCCTAAATGGTCGGCTGTTGGTTGGTTCTGGTGCTTGCTGTGACTGTGTGACAAGTGTCTAGCCACGTGTCTGTCCATTGGGTTGAAGGGAAGGGCGCTGGTGTTTCAATCTAGCAGTTATCCAGCAGTTGGGCTACACAGGGATGACGAACGGTTGCTATGATAATACAGTACCACCACATGTGGTGAAGCTGATCGTGCAAGAAGCACTCAATGATGAAAAGGAAGGAGAGGCGCACACGCCTCAACGCCAACTTGTAACTCCCATCCTTTTGTACATGCCTATTGACACACTTGAGTGTCCAGTCTCGCGATGGAACGAAGTAAGCCCTGATGATGTCAGCGAAGAGCGAGAAGGAGGAAAGGTTACCAACAACAATCCTTCCTCGACGCTGCACCATCACCGCATGAGATTATGCCCACCTAGCTCTCTAGCGTGTAGAACGTGCGACCACTACTTGGCGTTAGGGAGATAGACTGACAAATCAGCATGAGATCGGCAACATTCGTGAACGGATACATGCACGGACAGACGGGAGGGAGAGAAGGGGGGGGGGGGCTGACTGCACGCACGGTTTGAGAGGGAAAAATTGAAAACTACACGACTCCAAGAGGGGACGAAAGGCCTCTGCATTCTTGTTGCTTTACCCAGAGGATGATGGTGTTCGGTGGTTTTGACGAAACGGCTGCGTTTTCGACTGTGGCACATCAATAAAAAAAACTCTGTTGCCTGAGTTTTTTCCCCGCGACTCGAAAAAGGGTTCGTGTGTTGTTACCGTTCTTTTATTGTAACAATAAAACCCCATCGTCTATCTCTACTAGACTATCCGTCCATCCATACGTGTAGATCTGTCATTATATTCCTTTCTTCTGCTACATACACTGCTGTCCTGTCTTCAGCTAACTTCAACAAGAAGAAGACGACAGACAAGCACAAATATATGTAGTGTGTCTAGATTACGTGAGCAAGTCAAAATTATGCTGTAGACTATAGGTTTTTGCTGGTGGACCTCACACAGGTGGCCAGTGGGCACGGTTGTACGGGAGCGTTGTGAACCTCCGGCCAACGAGGGGTTATTACATGGCATGACGTGGGGGGGGTACAGGCCGAGCGAGCATAACGTGCCGGGTTATGAAGAAGGCGGTTATGCCGGATTGGTGTGGAGGAGGAGAAAAGAAAAATGTATGTGTGAGCTTTTCCCTCCCTTCCATTATTTGTATTCCACCCTACGGTTGGGTTAATCAAGCGATACATCGGCCGACAACGTGCCTGTCTTTCGGGATGACTAGCGCAAGAAGATTACACAACTCGGGGGGGAACCGAACCAGCAACCTGTGTATACAAATCCTACCGGTATACCGCTACGCTATATGTTGAAGCACATCACGTCTTACTCGCAAATTCCATCAATGAATCTATAAATATTATTATTATTATTATTATTATTATTATTATTATTATTATTATTATTATTATTATTTTTATTATTGCCTTCCGACAATTGAACATGTTAGCACCAAAGTCCTAAAACGTTTCACTCAATGTATACCCCTTACTATTTCTATCTTCATGCTCATACTTGTACGAATACGATATTGTACATGCACGTCATGTTAGTACGTACCTACCAATGCCGAACTTAAAACTGAATGAAGGAAATCATAACATTATTATTGATTGAATTCAACATTTCCTCCGTTCTCCTGTTACTTCCTTTGTGAAAATGCCAAAACCTTGTCTCTCCAAAACTCTGACAAGAAGTTCCTGTCGTTGAACCAAAATCTTGTGAACATAATCTACTACTAAAACGACATTTCTTTTAGTATATTTGATGTACCTACCAAACGCTTTGTAACAACTATTTATTATACCTACGCTCATAAGAAAATCCATTACATTCCTACTATTATTACAGTGCATCGACACTACATCCCCAAATCATTGGTGTCGATGTGTTCGGTGTCGATCTTGCTCGTTGGTCCTCCGCTTCTTGTCGTCCACGTAGTGCGAGCTTGTATCTTTGTACCCTCCTTGATATGGCCACCTGCGTAGCCACCGAAACGACCTGAAGCAGCCTCTCCTTGTAGACTCCTTTCTGGGTCATCGTTCCTCCATGCCTCCCTCCGCACCGTGCGTCGCTAGTTCGTCGATGAATTCGTAGCCCTCCTCTCCAAGGCGGCCAAAGCTTTCCACCGCTCAATGAATCTATTATAGGGATGGGGGCGGGAACAATTGTGGCAACGCCACCCACGCGGCCGATAAGAGCACACTTACTACTTACTCTGCCGTCCCCCTCACCACGCAAAAAGCAGAAACTCCGAGTAATGTCTTCCATTACCAATCTTTCAATGGCAAGTTTTTGGTCAACCAAGTTTTTATGTTCCACAGCAGCAACAAAATGTATATATCTACGAAGTATATAATTATTTGATGCAGAGCGCGCAATTCTTTTCTTCATTCAGTAGAGTTTTTTTATGTAGTAATACTACATATAATATATATATTCGACCACTATGTATATATATATGTATTATAGGAGACAGACGTACGTACGTACGTACGTACGTGTTGTCGTGTTGACTTTTACAGAGAGAGGCAGCGTATTCAGATGTATTTAGTATATCGCCTACTCTCTCTCTCTCGCTCTCTCTCTTGTTCTCAGTCTTTGCTTTGCCTCCCGATCGTTGCCGTGCGTGTTTCTACGCAACAATATATGTAAAATAGAGTAGGCCCATGTCTATGTTGCTTCCGGCACTACATCTTGATCAGAACGCTCGCACTTAAGAACTTGGCAGTTAAGAAATGCGACCTCGAAAAAAATCAGAATCAAAGAAATTGACCACATAATGATAATGACAACACGCGCGTGCTCAGGCCCGAACAAGAACGAACCCGCCTTTCTTTGTGGTGTAAGAACAGAGCCCCCAAAACGTGACAGCTGCAAGGTAATAATAAGTACTCACGAAGGGGTGATGGGCTACTCGCGGGGTGGCCGGTGGGCAGATAGTTAGTTGTAGATCAGCGGCGAGGAGGAGGTTCCTTTGAAAATAGTACTGGTGCGGAGATGGGGGTGGGGGTGCACTGCTGTTCTTATTTTTGCGCGCCTAACGGTTGTTGTTGTTGTTGTTGTTGTTGTCTTCACATTAAAAACCATCCCGGTCTCTCTATCCAGTACCTCCTTCTGTCTCAATCTCTCCGTACTAATCCATCACTTGACTCGGCCAATTTCCGTGGTCACAGGCTAACGTACCTAGAAAAGGTATACCAAAATAAAATGGACCCCAAGGGTCAGCAGAGCGATAAAATACAAGAAAACAAAATATAATCAGAAACAAATAAAATAAAATAAAATAAATAATTAGACTAGTGGAACGGCCGCACCACCAGCCTGGGGGGGTAGCCTCCCACTACATGGAGGCAGGTCGACGGCCAAAGGAAGGGGCGGGGGTACGTGCCAGTAAAAAACAAAACAAAAGACAAAATAAAACAGAATAAAGCAAAGACGAGGACACAAACAAACTCGCACAGAGACAGGGATATCCCTAGAGACAGTCTGAACGCGACAGCAAACGGGGGAGAGGGCAACAGAAAAATTAGTCGTTGAAATTCGACCGCAACATGTCACGTCACGCGGTCGGTCTCTTCTCGCTTGCTTTCTTCCCGCCGCGCCGTTTCCTTCCGCCCCCCTACCGCCCCGTTGATTGGTGCCGTATCTAGACTATTTTTGGGCCCGCTGTCTCCTCGTTTGATGGCTCGTTGTCGGCTGGCCTCCTCCTTGCCCTTGTGCCAAGAGGCCATGAACCTCTCAGCTCCCTGTAGCACCCCCGCGTGCCACGGTACCCCCCCCTCCACCTTCGCCGCCTCACTCCAGACTAACTTCGGGACTCCGAAGACGCTCGGCTTGTCGGTCGTGGAGCCGTACCTGGCTTCGAACATCTTCATGTCGTCCTTCAGGCATGTCAGCCAGTTCTGCTCCGGGTTTCCCCGGCCCGGGTCCTCCCCTCCCACCAACTCGCCGAACATCAGCCGTTTCGGAAGCCGCCCGTCCGGCTGTCTTGCCACGGCCCCCGCAAAGAGCAGGCGCCGTTGACGGACAGTGGCCTCCACGCTCTGGCAGCCGACCCTCTTTAGCGCCTGGGCGGTAGTCAACTATAAAATCGGGCTTTTACAAACAAAAAATAAATGCCGGCACTTTTTTTTTTATTGCCGCGAATGTCCAAAAAACAATCGGTGATCATGAACGGAGATGAAAGGCCTTTTCCAACACGGAGATGTCGCATGGATCAAAGCATTTTTTGTTGGATTTCAGCTTTTACAAGAGGACATCAACGCAGTAGTATTTTAGCAAGCTCACGAACGCATATAGGATACCATCAGGATTGTCATTGGTTTATTTCAAGTTGAAGAGGAGATATTTTTACGATGTAAATGACAGTAGAAATAAGTCCTACATATGTTGTTGTCGTATTGGTTTAATATTCATGTAGAGTATGAGAAGTGAAAGTTTTCTGAGGTACATCTGCAATTGTCGGAAGGCAAAAAAAAAAAAATCGGTGTAGTCTATGTATCGTGTACTCTGTGGACACCGGCTGGTACATAGACTAGTTTTCGCGGCAGGGCATGGACATGTTCGGGCTTTGACAACCTCGCCTGCAACCAAGCACAGATACGAATGTCCCTTAACTGGGTTTGGGCCGCCGTTTCCGAACCCTGCCTGACCTTGGAGGTTGGCAACGGTGCGCCCGACCGGGGTACGCAGGTTGTACAACGCGTAGAGGTTACAGGTCACTTTTAACCCCCCCGTAACCGTGCCCACTGGCCACCTGTGTAGACCATCATGGGCTACCGGTTTACCTCTCCTTTTCTTTATTGTGTTGCGCGAGGTAGATCTTCTCTTCCTTCCCCGCATACGGCCGAGAAGAAACGAATTGATGGGTGCATCGAAAATCGAAAAACTGCTGTACAGAGCATATCAAACACACGGTACAGATCAACTTGTTGTGCACATCCTTCGGATCCTTGCAGTCGATGGGCCTTTCTGTCTCTCTCACTACTCTCGCACCCGTTCGAGATCAAAGCGATAATTTCAATCAATTCTTTCCACAGCAGTACTAATTGTGAGTGCTGTTCGCCCCCCCGCAGCCCCTGGGCGTGTGTCTGCTCTGTCAGATCTTTTGGTCGGCTCAGACGCCAGCGAATCTTTGTTTTGACCGCCTGCGAGGAGGAGGGGACGTTTGTTCAGGGGGAAAACGCCTTCATAATCATATCGTCCATTTTTTTTTTTCCCGCTGCGCTGAAAGGAGCTCTGGGCAGGGAAACCAATGTTTCAGCAGCATACGGCAACATAGGACTCCTCAACAGCGCTCGGAAACAACACAGACCAGGGGCTTGTCAAAAGGGGATGGTCGGGAAGTCCGTGTGCGCCTAACGGCATCTCGAAGTCTCCAGAGGAGTCGAGGACGTTGGGTCGAAAGACAAGCCTACTGCTACACCGACCATGGTAAGAAGAGAGAGCAGGAACGCACAGCGAAAACTCCCGTTTGCGTGAACAGCTGTCTCCCACTCGCGCTGGCATGAGCCCGATAGCGAGGGCGGGTCACAAGAGCGGACTGTAGTCTTGGCGCTTCTAACCCAAGGCGTAGGTGCTGAATCTGGGGTTGGCCCCCGAAGGTCCAGGCGATTACAAACACGGCGCGGTGTGTATTTGCAACAACCTGAAGCGAGTCATGGAAGACGGGGCAGTCTTTGTGCATACAGCAGCCATACACTTTTTGTTGCCCCATGGGAAGATGACCCTAGTCCCTGCCCGCGATCCAGCGGTTGAGCGGTCACAACAGTCGTGCTAGGAAAGCTTCGTCTTTGCTGCGACTCTCCAGGCTCTCTTATGCAGCTCCAGCGTTCGCAACTCCCGCATCGCAAAGCCCCTTCTTCCACCAGATGGGGCAAAGGTGAGATGCTGATGGGTGGACCAAATCCAGCCGAAGTGTGTGTCGGGGGATCTATGCGGCCACCAAACGCCGGCGCGGCGACGCGCGAGCTAGACCGCGTTGAGCTCCTCGTGGAGAGGCAAACGAAGACAATTGTCGTTGCCAAGCACGATGGCCTGTGCGCCAGCTCCCCCCCGCATCGCCACAGGCGGCACCCAAATATGATGTTGGTTGGGTTTGATGATGGAAGCCTCTTGCCCTCTCGCTCAATTGATTTCTTCATACAAATTCATCGGCACGCGCGGGCGCCGCGCCGACAAGGCAGGTTTGGTTGGTCGCACACAAGCAGCTTGATTACAGGTTTGTTGCGCCGCAGTCTCTTACTCTCTCCCTCTCTCTCTATTGCATGTTGGTTTCGCATGATCCTTTCTCCAGAGAGAAGCCCCCACTGGCCTTGCCGACGCAAAACGCAACTTGCATTGCCTCCCCGCATCCTGTTGCCCACACAAGACACGCTTTTTATAAAAACCCTGCCGATAACCCTCACTTTTTTTTGTTTGATGACCTTTCCCCCCGCCTTTTTTTACTGGCGCCGCCCTTATCCAGGCAACCTTCAACCCGTTCGGAGCGCTAGACTCGGATGACGAGGGCGTCAACTCGGTGACCACCACCGTCACCACAACCGTCACTACCACCACCGCTAAGGGTAGCAAGGGCGGCAAGAAGTCCACCCCCGCGCCGGCGCCGGCTTCTAAGAGCGGTGGCCGCGACGCCGCCGGCCGGGGGGCCCGCAGAGAGGGAGGGCGGGGCGGCGGGGGCCGTGGCGAGGGCAGGGGCAGGGGTGGACGCGGGGGTGGCAGGTATGGTGATGGAGGAGGAGACCGTGGACCTGAGCGCGAGAGCTTCGATGACCGCCGCCGAGAGCGTGGGTAAGTCGCACAAGAGGTTACATCTCACAACCTATCACCCCTCCCCCCCTCCCCCCGGATAGACTTTTGCTCGCTCCACACACAACCAACGGGGTGCGGAAAGAATGTACGGGAAGCCCTTGACGAGATGTCTCCGAAACCACCATTTTCGGTTGGTGTTGGGACAATCTTAAGCTGTGGAGCATGTGCGCTTTTTGAAAATCCGTCAAGGGGAGGGAGAGTGGGGAATGTGTGGCAATCTCCGCCTCTTACCACAGTCTCGCCGCGTTTTTGTATGCTGTTGCGTGAATCAGTGTTGTGCATCACGTCGAAATCGGATCGAGGCTCAGTTTTTTACTCTGTATCCATTGCTGTCGAGCATCGGTTGTTAGTTGCCAGAGTCTGGCGTGGGGCCCGCCGCTGATCCGTGTTTTGTTTTGTTTTAAGACCTTGTTTTCGTGAAAATTAGAGCCTGGTGCTCAGAGATGGCTCCGAACTCCGGGCCCGTATGGTGCCCTCTGCCGCGAAGACACGATATCACAGCAGCCTCTGGAACATTTTTCAAGGCTCGATTGCATCACGACGAAGAGGATGCATAAGTCAAACGATAGTTTCGTTGTCGGGAAAAACAGCTCATCTTTCCGGACGAGACGGTTCCAACGCGCCACTATTTCCGCGGTGGAAAAATCGAGTTTTCATTTCGGTCCAGGGGGTAAGAGGTGTCACGTACGGCACCTGCGGGCGGTATGCGTGCATGGGTTGTGCTAGATATGCGGAGTCATTGTGGCATAAAGTGCTGAGATGCTACCAATTGTTCTTCGTCGTCACATGAGAAATGTGTTGGCTGATTATTTACAGCAGACTTGCTGCCGTTCTCCTGTCGGCGGGATTGAATTTAGCACGTTCACCGGGTTAGGGTTCGGGTAAGAACCAAAACGGTACAACATCACTAGTGCTGTTGATAGGTCAAGCACACACGACGCCGCTTTCCAAAGATTGGTCAGGATGCACGAAATAAGGATAATGTCCCTCCTGTCCACCAATAGTTCAGCAGTCGGCTGATGCGGCCGCAATGGGATTTATAGCCCCTCCCTTTCATGGACACTGGTCGGCATCCACTGCGATCGTGCAAAGTCAAATGTAGGGTTCAAAGTCATGTAGGGTTGAAGAGATGCGTGTTTTACAGCACTGCACTCACTGGCGTTGGTTGTATGGCCGCGACTGCCTTCTATGTGTGTTTTTTCCTTTTAGCACGATGGATTAACAGAGCAGCGGTTCTAACCCACTTGCTTGAGTTGTTGCCTTGACGAAAGAGTGCGCATCTTGTTATAACCGTTTCAAGCACGAAAGTCTGTTGTCTTTTGGGTCTGGAGGTCGCGGAGGGGGCAGGGGGTTGGCAATACTGTACCTTGTGTTTGTCGAAGTTTTTTTTGTGTGCATGTCATTGGGCCTCACCCTTGTTGTCATGGTCGCCTGCATTTCTTTCTCTGATTGCCTTCTGTCGGTATCGTCTGGACATACACCAACCTGAAGGTTGCGGAATTCCGTCCACTACCTTCTCATCCATGCCGTGTCAAGCAAGCTGTGTTTGTTTTGTTCAAAGAATGGTACAGCGAGGGAGAGACTTACCCAGACATGCCGGCCCATTGCCTGGGAGTCCTGAAAATTGTGACAGCGTGGGTGGTGACAGTCTGAACTTGTACCCTTGCAATGAGGTCCATCGAAGAAGTAAGCCTGCCCTGCCCCTCTTGCGTGGTCCCTTTCTTTTCCATTTTTTGCGTGGTTCTCAGTGGCTACGGCGGTGGCGACAACCGTGACAACAGGGACAACCGCGCCAACAGGAGCGGGTACGCCGGGCGAGATGGCCGCAACAGGGAGTACGACAGGCGCTCCGGTACCGGCAGGTGATTTTTCAAAATCGTCACGATTATTCCATCACTAACCTGTCACCAAATCATTTGTTGCTGGTGTCCTGCGAGTGAGTATCGTTTTATGCCGTCATGTACCAATTGATGTTTTGTTTTGTGTTTCATCTCAACTCTCACAGCAGTATGTAGAGCGAGCCACAGGAGGTATGGTTCCGACATGTGATGATTGGTATTCCTTGCAACTATTAATGTCGCTGATCACGGCAGGCTTTCTGGGAGTGTCGTCTACTTTCCCAAGTTTTGCTACTTTTTTTGGCAAATGTTTTTGGTGAGGGATCGGGAAGAAGCAAAACTTCTCGCCTCCGTTGGATGGCATCTAACCTATAAACTGCGGCCATGCCTTTTGAGTAGTTAGTTAGTACACCTCCCCTGACACCCCTTAGTCCTTCCCCACTGTCTCCCCCCCCCGCCCTGCGGTGCCCACCGTGCGTGCAGGGGCCGCGAGATCAAGAAGAGCGGCGGCGGCGGTCGCAACTGGGGCAACGACGCGGCGGCCGGCATGGACAACGCCGCCGCCAACGCGGAGAATGAAGCCGAGGGAGATCAAGGTGCCGGTTGGGGAGCCAACGGTTCCGCCGCCCCCAACGCCGAGGTGTGTACCGTTACCCCGGGTGTTTTTTCAAACATGTCAACGTAGTCGAAGCTAAATTTCTTCTGATTTCAACACCGTCGAGGATAGTTCATTAGACTATACAGAGTTTAGTGTAGGATCCCTGTGTTTCATGGTCGATTTTTCCCACTTACCGCCATTGTCTGAACCTTGGACTATTTTTCTGAGAGGCAACCTTGCTTTTCGCCAGCGCTAACTGTGAACGTACTGCTGGCCACGAGTGGGATGTCGTCGTTCCACCGAGCTGCTGCTGCGCTCGTGGTTGGTTTCCGCGCCGTGTGTTGTTGGTCGGGGAAGCAGCGTCCTGTTTTACCTGTTGCGGCTTTTTACATGGCGTGGGCGTGTTGTTGGCGACCGTTGCATGCGGAAAGTGATGAGAGAGTGAAGTGTTTGTTTTCGCCTTCATTTGTCATTGGGCAGAATGTCTCCATCAGGGCTTTGCTTTGATCGAAAAAAACAGACGGCCGTAGCCGTCCAGGCGTTTCGAACTCCATTTCCCGCACTCTATTGAGGTACCTACGCTATCATGCTTTCAAAGCAAAAGCTCACCAATGTTGTGTGGTACTCTATGCATATGAGGCAGCTTTCCTTCGTTTGACTACTTTTTGTTTTCTGCGTCGACTTTCCGTTCCCTTGTCTGCAAGGACCCCATGACTGAGAGCGGCGACGGACAGGCCACGGACGGAGGAGAGTCGCCCAAGGAAGACATGCCCGCACCGCCTGCGCCCGAACCCGAGCCGGAAGAGGTAGGCACAGTGTACAGGTGGTCCCGGTATACCGTACTGCGATCCCGAATAGCACGGTTCTGTTCCCGAAACATGATCGCGGTAAAACAAAAAAATCCTCGTCACAACAACCTAGCCTCGTTACCGCACTACCTAGACTTTTCCCATTACCTCAAATTTCTGTTCAGGGACATTCCCCCAATAGCGCGCGGGTCACGCACGATGTACCTCGGTGATTGTTGCCTGTCACTACACAGCGGTACGGCATGGCATATCCGGACCACCGCTATTATATCTCACCGGTGCTGACTCTGGTTCTGCACTTGTTCGAAGTTGCTGTGAGCGTAGTGGGAATAGAATAGATGGACAAGCTATTGCGGCAAGTTATTGCGGCGTATTGTGTGCGGTGCGCGCACGAGGTGGTCCTGTTGAAAACGGTTCGTCTCACCCCTCCTTTTGCCGAACAGGCACCAGGTGGAAGCAAGCATACCTTCAAGCCCAACCCAGACTAAGTTGCTACATAGGTCAGCGCTACCCGACCTTCTCTCCTCGGCTATTGTGTTGGCAGATCACCACTTCGCCCTCCGGTATACGTGCCTGTCAGAGACGCGACGTGTACCGGAGGGCGAAGTGGTGATCTATGACTACGATCAATGAGGGACGTTGGTATGGTAGCGCTATTGTGTGTGGCAACTACTAGTTCGAGGTGTATGCATGTGAAACCGCGATTGATGATGATCGATGCATGTCTCATGGCCATCATTTCCCAGACGGTCACAAGCAGACCCACTCAACTATCTCAGTACAAGGAGCCTTCGGGACAATGTATCGCTTGGATACAGGTTGGGGGTAAGAACATTTACTCTTTTCCATGCCGAGAGAGAAAGAAGAATGGGTGAAGACCTTTTGTTGCAGAGATACGGGAGAGGCAAGAGGGGCACCACGCATGATTTCTTGTCATACCCGCAGTACCCCTTGGAGGCCCTTCAACTTCAATTTTAACGCGACTACCCAACACGGGGGGATAGGGACACACCCACCCACCCCCTCTCTATTTCATAGCTGTCAGTCTGGGTACGGATTTATGATCCTGTCCAGAATCTCAACATTTTTCTTTGCTGTAAACGTATACTGATTGTGTCTTAGGGACGCAGATTTGAACAGTCTGGCAGGAGGCGTCAGTGGCAACAATCTGCCTCGAAACAACAATGCAACACGTAGGTCAGCGTTTGTACTGACGTTTTTTCGCAACTGTTAGGCTCTCGCGTGACCCTCTGTATGCGCGTTTTTCGTGTGACGGAGCTACTTTTGAACAGATTTAAGAAAAAAAAACTCAGACCAATGAAATCTCATCTATTTGAAAACTTTCAGACCAACAGACCGCCAACACCTGTGTCGGAGCGTGTTTTTTTTTGAAAATGTTTGCGTGAGGTTTTGGGATGCACAACAGCAGCAGAGTCGCCATAAAGTGTGTGTGTGGTGCGCTGCTGCGCCCAGCTCTACGGGGACCACGACCGTGCGGACCGTCGTCTCGAAATGGCTGACGACGCCGCTGAGGCTCAGGCCCAACCCACTAATTCTTCTCCTGCACCAACTGATGATGCCCGAAGCCAGGACAGCCGTAATGTGATTTTCGCAAAGCGCGTCGGTTGCCTACTGCAGACGGTCCTGCTCCTTCTTCTCCAAAGCCAGACGAGCGATCTTCTCCGTCAAGAGCTGGACCCGCCGGCGCTTCTCCTCCAGCTGCTCCGCCGCCGCACGCTTCTCCTCCTCCGCCCTCACCCTGCTCGCGCGTTCGGCTTCCGCCGTAGCGGTTGCCAAGTCTCCCAGCCGCTGCTGCTCCCCCGCAACTTTTTCCGCCTCCTCCGCTGCTTTTTCCGCCCTACGTTTGGCTGCCATCGCCTTGTTTTTATTTTCACGCGCTTTGGCCGCGGCTGCGTGCGCGACGTCGCGGCTGCGGCTCAGCGCGGCAACGTCCCCGCGTTGAACGACGCTGTTGTACCGCTGCTGAGACGCCCTCTGTATCAAGTCCTTCCCATTTTCAGCTACCAAAGTCGCCTGCTGCGAGCGATATATATATATTTTTTCTCCGCTGTGAAAGCCCTTTGTTTTTGGTCCGTTGGTTACCCATCAGTACTCGATCTTGCAAGACGGGCTGTGTGGCGTAGGAGTGGTGGATTGTGGTGCGGTTTGTTGTGCGACCTTCGCAGAAACAGGAGCTGTGGTTTTGTCTGTTGGGGTTTTCGCAATCTCCACGCACGTACGTGGGAGCCGGTGGAAAGCACCGAAAATCACATGTTTTTAGGGTCTTTGGCGCCTTTTTGATGTCAGTTCGCAAAACTGACAGATAAACCCTTGCATATGACCTGTCAGCAGGTCTTCTTCGAGTAGCAAGAGCCAATTCGTATGTGGGTGCGAGTAATACGTATTGCAAGTTTGTCCTTTAATATCAAGTCAAATTGTGATTTGGCGGCGTCAGCAGGTTTGTCGGTTCAACTTTTTTTTGGAAGAATCACTCGCACATACAACCAACAGACCACCCGCACATACACGGTTTTTGGAGGGTCACGCGAGAGCCTAACNAATACGTATTGCAAGTTTGTCCTTTAATATCAAGTCAAATTGTGACTTGACGGCGTCAGCAGGTTTGTCGGTTCAATTTTTTTGGAAGAACCACTCGCACATACAACCAACAGACCACCCGCACATACACGGTTTTTGGAGGGTCACGCGAGAGCCCAACTGTATTCACGTCACGAGTTTCGTCCGTTGTGAACATGCTGCGTGCATTGGTGTCGTCTAAGAAGACGGGCCTACGAGTGAGGAAGCTGTGAGCGTGCTGTGTGCATGACTGTCGTCCTTGAAGACAGGGACCAAAAGGGAGTGAAGCTGTCAAGAAAGCTTGACAGTTTGACTCGCTTTTGGTTCCCAGCGTTCCTCGCCGACTGCCATGCACACAGCATGTTCACAGCGGACGAAACTGGAGACATGAAAACAGCTTCGGTCTGCAATTGTACTGACGTTTATGCGCGGTCCATCAGCTGTTTGCACGTGTGTACTGTTGACCTCAAGAAACAGCTGCCACCGCTTACGTTTTTGGTGGCATCTGCGTTTCTTGCAGCTGTTCACCATGCTGACTTGCGTATTGTGGTATTGCTTGTTGACATGGTCAAGGGTCAAGGTCGGAGAAATAACTGAACTTGGGTGTAGGTGTATTCTTCACTACCATCCTACCTCGCCATGCGAAAAACTGGATTCAACCCTCGGACGTTGTTGGATGGGCATTAGTTTGCGTCCCTCGAAAGACACACGATCCGTACGTATGTCCAGGTACAGTAGAGGTCCCTGTTTAGTGCCGGTGTTTTCGGCTCGCACACACTGGAATACCAAGTCGTGCTGTATTTCGAATAGTGCCGGTGTCCGGTTGAGTGCCTGTGAAATTTCGGCGCACACCCCGGCACTAAATAGGGACCTCTACTGCACTTGATACCTCTTGTGCTGTGCACACTACTTTTCACCGAATGCATGACACCCCCGATTGCCCACCACACGGCGGCGGTAGGAAACCACGCGTGATGAGAAAGAGGGCATATTTATTGCGGAGTGTGTGCGTAACGAACTTCTTCCTCTGTTTTCTCTTTGCATGTCTTCGTATCACCTCTACCACGGTGCTCTCTTTTTGCCTTGACCCACTCCGGTAGATCTTGGTACTTGGTAACATTATCCCCACGAAGGCTGTCCCTTATCGTCATCGTCATCTTTCACCTTACTCCCCAACGGTTGGTGACCTATCATACCTATCTGGCAGATCCAGCTGACCCTGGATGAGCACCAGGCCATGCTCGACGCCAAGGCCAAGGAGCTGGCGGACATGATCGGAGAAGTGTCCATCAAGACCGTGGACAACTCCGAGTTCAACGAAGGTGCCATCCGCAACAAGCAAGAGGTGGAAGAAGAGGGCTACATGGGCGGCAAGGTACTGCTGTCTGTCACGTCACGTCTCGGTCTTGTCTTGTCTTGTCTTGTCCATCGCCGCTGTTGTATGAGCCTTTGATCTTGTCTGGTCCAATCCAATCGAACCAAATGACGTGCGGTCGGGATTTAGCAATTTTTACCCTGACCTAACCTAGCTAGCCTGACGACGTCGGAGAAGAGAGCTTGAAATGGGGAGTCGTGCACACTTGCGTCAGCCTATGTAACAGCCGTTGTCATACAGCCCTCGAATCCCGCCTCAACTCCGCAGAGGGTCTAGCCTTCTTTGATGTAGGCTGTGCATGAGGGATGCGCCTACGGTGTGTGTGTGTGTGCGTGTGTAGACATGTTACCAGAGACAAGTGAATGTGACATCTCTTTGGAGATAAAACTTCAACATGTAAGGGCCGCAAGTCACATGCTACACATCCAGCCCTCCCAACGCCTTTCGACGACGATGATTCCTCTCGCCCACCACATGGGCATGTGTGGAGATGACCTTCGGAAGCAACACGTCACATGTTACATGTCGATGCCTTCTCTTTACTTTCATGTGAATGGCATTGTTTCGTTCGCTCTACTTGCATGTGCCCCTGTTGTCGATTGTGATCGTATTATATTACCAAGACCCTTACCTTACCTAACTGCTTTCGTTTTTACGTGTTGTGTAAAATGTCCATGTCCATTTGGTTCGGTTACCTAACGATTTGACTGTAGCTGTGCTTTGTCTGTTGTGTTTTCAATCTACTAATACTCTTACGCTATACTACAGGCTACCAAGACCCGCAAGGTGAAGACTCAGCAGCGTGCCAAGGAGGTCTTCCAAGACGTGGGATTCCGGGCTCCCGCCATCAACTCGTGAGTTGCTTTTTCATCATGTCATCATGATTTCGTCATGATGACTAGACAAGATAGTGTCTCGTGTCTTGACGTTTACATGTAGAAGGTCCGCTTGGCCTCTCTTATTCCGGTACCTAGCATTGGCTCGTGAATTGTCATGGGTAACTGTGACATGTCGCTGTCTTGACCTCGACAACGATCGGTGCTGCGCTTCTCTCGACTATTCTTACGCGCCATCGCCATGGCCATCGCCATCGCCATCGCGATGGCCATACTCGTTGGTTGTTGTGTTAGCGTTGGCATGTCAATGTCAAGACATGGAGCACTTCTACCTGATTGATCTCGCTGTATCCGGTGCTTGGAGGCCTACGGCATTTCCGTGCTGGGATGGCCTCTTCCCTGAAGCCAACCTGACAGCTGGTTCGTGAAAATGCTGAAATGCATCACCTATCGCGCTGGTTTTGTAGAAGTTCTCAACTGCTGCACACCCGTATTTCATGATGTCCGGTTAGCAGGGGGTACTTCTAATGTTTTCGTTGATCTGGAGCGTTGTTCCCTGCGGCAATCCCATCGCCGAAAAACTCTGAAAATTGTGCACATGGCTAGGTAACGCGGACCTCCCTTCCCCACGCTTCGTCTCAGGATTGCTTGAAATTCCCCACACCACAAAAATGGCACAATTCTACTCACCTGCTGCGGTGCATGGACGCTTAATTGGATCCTAATGTTGCGGTTACTATCCATCTCCCTACACGATACGGGGTGCAACTCCACGACTAACCCACACGGTGCACACCAACAGTTGAGCCTCGATGTTCCTGTAACGAACTCTCTACACCTTGTCGAATACCAACAGCGTTACTGTAGCTGCAGGTGAACCCCGCACAGCAAGAACAACAAGTTGTTCCTCCCCATGCAGTTTTATTTTAGTATATAACAATGCCGAAAGTTGGAGTCTTCCCAGAAAATCTAGGGTGTAAGTAACTTCCTCCAACACTGTTCGTCTTGGCCACTGCTGTTGTGTCCAACACTGTTGTTTATAGTGGAGGCGACGGCCGTGGCCGTGGTCGCGGGCGCGGCGGCGGCCGTGGAGGCAGAGGCGGCGGAAGGGGTGGATTCGACCGCGGTGACCGCCCCCAGCGCTCCGGCTACGGGGGGGGTGAAGGCGGAGACCGCGCCGGCGGGGCCCCCGGAAGGTGAACACGAGTAAAGAATATATGGATGATTTTATCGTGTTTTGGAAAATGTTTACCATTTTGCATTGTTTCTTGAAAGATTGCTGTCACACGTGTGGTGATGCACCGGCGGGGCCGCCGGGTAGGAACTACAAGTGAATTTCGATTTCGTGGGTGCCCTAGTTCCCTTTCCGCCGTTCTGCAGTACCACCAATATCAACCTTGACCTTCATTAATTTTTCGTATATGTTGACGCGAAGAGTTAGTTGTCAACCCGAACCCCCCCCCCCCCCCCCCCCCCCCCCCCCCCCCCCCCCCCCCCCCCCCCCCCCCCCNCCCCCCCCCCCCCCCCCCCCCCTCTCCCTCCCAACCTTCATTTCCGTGCCGTAGGGGAGAAGGAGACGAGTCTACCCCTGCTGAGGACGGCGGACCTCACAGGCCTCGCTTCCAAGGCGGTGGCCGTGGTGGCGGCTTCCGCGGCGAGGGCCGTGGCTACCAAGGAGGAGGAGGTGGCTACGGGGATGGGGGCTACAGGGACGACGGACGTGAGTTTCTTTCGTTTGTTTCTTTGTTTCTTGATAGGTTGTATAACAGTCTTGCCTCGGTTGAGGACACCAAAATTACGGAAAATTCCCTGGTGAGGGACAGCTTTTTTCTTCACAGGCATGGTGCCTCGCAGCATGTACAGCATAAGGAGGGGAATGAACCTCCGGGACGCTTACCCGGCTTCATTATGACACTTTTTTTAGCCACAAGCCAGGTCCGTTCTCAGAGGTTTTGACTTTACACGTGTACAAGTGATTGCTTTGAGTGGGGTCATGAGAGGAGAGATGAGTGCAAAGTAGTGCCACCAACCGATGAAGGTGATGCGAGAGGACCAAGCTACAGCTGTGATGAAGTTTCCCTAGCTCAGT